GATTCGTCACCATCACCGGGCGTTTCCGTCACCGTCGGTTACCTCTCCGGTATACTTATATTTCCTTCCTTTCTCTCTCTCTCTCGCACTCTCTCACTCTTTGTATCTATATCTATACATGCTTATTCAGATTCATTTCGAGCTGAAGCTTTCCATTTCCTATCCCATTTTAGGGATAAAGCCAGGGCTAAAAGGACCGTCAATGGTGACGGGAGGATTGATCGGGCTAATGGGAGGGTTCATGTATGCTTATCAGAACTCGGCGGGTCGACTCATGGGCTTTTTCCCCAATGATGGCGAGGTCGCTCGGTACCAGAAACGCGGGTTTTGATTTCTCTGATTAATTTAGGTCATCCATTTGTCATTTCCCTATTTTGATTCTAAAAAATTCACGCCCTTAATTATGATTTTGTGCAATAATCAGGGTTGAATTACTGTCTTTACACCGCTTGTGGGATGCGAATGTTTGATAAAATTTGTTTAGTTTTTTTCGTTTAAGTGCAGTTCTTTGGATCTAAATTTGATTGCTTGCTTACCTTGTTGCCATGAAATTTTTGTTAGAGTTTGTTCCGAGCTGATTTAATGCTTGATATGATTATGAAACCCATTAGGAATTTTTTGTAGGGCACAATCACAAAGCAAGAAATGTAATTAAGCAGTCAGTCCACCATGGATTTCATGCTGCGTTTTTGTTTTAAATTTGTGCTTTTGTGTGCTTTAGCTTAAAAGTCTTGTAAAGAACTGTAGCTGGTGAGGACTTAATAGATGTGAGTTGCTGTCATTAGAAAGATCAGACATCAAAGTTTTCCACAGTTTGGTTTGTAAGAGGGTGGCAGTGATTGTGTACCTGATTTCGGTTATTATATGGAACATTATGTTTCTTCTATAGCCAAATATATGAAGTTTTTAGGGGAATGCTCCATGTTTAAGTGATGTTATAATGAATAAAGCACTAATTCATGGTAGCTAACTGCAGGTTTGGAGCTTAGGGGTTCTTGATGTTTGAATCAGCAACTAGCTCCATCTCATTGCCACTAGATTTTAGTTTCGGGATGTTGTGAACTAAAAGGGTCTATACTTCATGTTTATATATTAGATGCAGTAGAGATATCTGTTTTAGAGCATTCGAATTGAGTCAATCAAAATCCCATATAGAGGGTCCGGCCACCTGAACTTGGCTTCTTTGACTTACAATAATTCTGCCTAGCTAATTTGTAAATTTAAGTCAGTGGTGGGAACAGAAACAGATATACACGAATCGTCTTATTTGCTGATGCTACATCTTGACATGATTGATTAGAATGTTGAAAATTAGAATGAATTTTTTGTATGACAATGATAATGCTATTTTTTGGATGGCAAGAGATTACTTAAATTGTTTTGATGGTAATAATTTATGCAGTCTGCAGATGCTTGTTTTCTTGATGGGGAAGACTTGTTATTAGAAAGTTAAGGTCTTTTTTTTTTTGTTGAGTCAGGACAATAATGAGAAAAGATAAAGCGAGGTAGATTTGGAACAAAGTTGGTATTTGGTTTTGTTTGGGTTTCGACATATCATGCAGTCGACGTCCCTATTTTAACAATGTCTGCGTTACTCTTTGTTCACCAGTAAAAATAACTGAAAAAACACAGCAGTTTGGAGACTAATAGAGTTTATGTATTCTGTTACTCCATCATGTACTTTAGGAATTATATTTGCACGAAATTTGTAGTATAAACACTCACTCATCTATAGATGTATATATGTCATCGCACTGAGTGAAATCTAATTAGAATACTTGACACAATAATGTTTACATGGTATCGGGGCTAATTCACATCATCATTTGTTTCAATCTTATGATTTCCTGTTTGGTTTTGTTCATCTGTTTGGTGCTGATTTTTTGGACAAACTATAGTTTTTTACTCTCTCTTATAGTTTGGTGTTTTGTAGTTTAAACTTGTAGTTTTGTTTTTCTTTTGCTTTTTTCTTCTTTTCCTTTTATTATAAGTTCATCTGTATCTTGTGTAGCTGTAGCTCACCAAAAACATTAGTTAAAGATGAAGATGATATCTTCTAACCATCATATAACATTGTCTCCTAAATTTTTAGGACACAACCTAAATAAGTTTCTTTCCTATTTAAAATTGTTCAGATTGGCTCTTGTGCCTAATATGGTGCAAATTTTTCGAATGCAGCTGTTTTTAAGTTTTAATGACCATTAGTTTACGCACGCGGGGCTAGTGACACAGCGCATTTTGCTTACACGGCATTGACATGGCATATCCATATGTCTTGTAAGCAAAAGAGGTTACATCACTTGTCGGGTATGCATAAACTAACAGTCGTTATGAATTACAAATAGTTGTCGCGGTTTTTTAACCGCCCTGGTAGGGGTCTATTTAAACACAATCAAAAAGTTTTCAACTAAACTGAATGCAGATATTGATCTGAACAAGTTTAAAAAGTAAGACACTTTTAAGGCTTAATGTTGAAGTCTTAATGTATTGGAGGATAGAGAGTTTGATTCTTGGTGCAGTTACAATAAAGATTATAGCAACAACACAGTGATATAATGTATTTGAGGGTTTGAGATCCAAATAGAAGTCCAGAAGCACCAACATGTGATATAATCTATTTGAAAGTTACAGAGTTTAAATTTTATCGTATTATCAATTATATATGTATATATATATGTGTGTGTGTGTATTTTTCTTATTTAATTTAATAAATCAGTAGCCTAGCTTCTGAGGTGCCTCATGATATAGTAATTATATATATTGGTATTAATTATTTTTTTTCAAATTAAAAAAATCAAACCATATTTTAAAAATTATTGAAGTAATTATTTAATCAATCAATCAAGTAATTAATTAATTAATTAATTGTAATTTGATATTAAAAGTATTCAACTGTTGGAGTCAGCAATGATTCAACAATCACTATTCATTATTCAAAGTTCAAACACTCAATTTTTTTGGGAATAAAAAATAAAAAAAAAAAGATAGTGACGTCATCATCCCACCATTAGAAGATCTTTTTTTTTACCACTTTTTCTTTTTCTTTTTTCTTTTTGCTTTTTTAAAAAAAAAATACTTTTTCCATATTTATTTATTTATTTATTTATTGGGCAGAAAGTAGAGTTTAATACCATACAAGTCCATAGATTTCCTTTTTATTATTATAAATATATTTACATTTATGTTAATAAATAAAGTTAATATATATTAATAAGTGTATTTTTATTTTTTATTACTATAAATATAATTATACTTATATTAATATAATAATATAATTTGTTAAACTCAACACAATCTTTTAAAAAAAATAAAATAAAATAAAATCCGCTTTTAGTTTAAAACATGTACAAATATTGTATTTTTTATAAAAACGATTCGAATTCTAATTTAATAAAATATGTTGTTAATATATTCTAATATAATTTCTAATACATAATTTTTTTTATTGAAATATATAAATATATAATTATACCATAAAACTATATAAATACAAGTAGATTGTTAGGAATTATATCATTAAAAATTTACGAAATACTTTATCTATTAAATCAAACGAATACTCAAAATAATACATCGTTACGATTAATTTTAATCATATAATAAAATTTTGAGAATTTTTATTTGTAAATTTATGGTAAACTTTTTGAAAATAATGAAAAGAAAATTCTTAAAGTATTTAATAAAATGACGTTCTAAACTCTTGCCAATTTTAGTAGATACATACAATTCATGAATTCGGCATAAGAAAGACAAAGCTTCAAGACTTGAAAAAAGGATTAGTAAAAAATATAATTTAATTAATTAAACATTAAAAATACACTAATTATAATTAATTAATTAATTAATTAATTTTTAAAATCTAATCTTTTTCTTTTGGTCACATGACGCGGTAGACGAGTCACGTGGGCCCCCCCCCCCCTACTGACGCCACTCTTTAATCTCATCCGTGGTCGGTGTGATAATGACTATTGGATTCTTGATTATTATTATTATTATTATTATTATTATTATTATTATTCAAATTACGATTTTACCCCTTGTAACATACACGTATATATATATATAATTTTATACATATATACTTATTATAATATAAGATTATATAAGGATAACACATGAAAATACACAATTCAGTCAAAAATTTGCTGCAACCCATCTTGGTTTTAATGAGAATCTATCAAATCATCTATGGCTTTATTCTATAAGAAGTTGCCACCATTACTAGGTTCTTCATTAATCATTTAAACCTTATTGTATATCTTTTAATTATTCATGTTTCAATTATATAATATATTGTAACGGTCCCGGAAATATTAAAATGAAATGAGTATTTAAATATACCAAATGCGGAAGCGATATCAAAATTTCAGT